AACTCTAATTGCAAAAACGTAACTAACTGTTGAAAAATTACAGATTTGAGTTGATCAGTTTTATTTTTAAGATAAACTTTCGATGACAGTCTTTTAATGTTAACTGTTTTTATCAGTAGCTGACTCTTGAACTTCATTGATCCATTTCCCTTCATCATTCTATGTAGTTATAATGAGAACAGATCTTATTTGAAAAACTTATGAATGAATATTACATATTTACTTACTGACGTTCATATTTCGTAAGTTTGTGTTACGCATGCACGTAAACATGTCAAATTGATATGCTTGAACTATTACGAGTTTACCTTAGTCGGAAAACGAGAGTGAGGATCGAGAATCCGGTGACACGGCATGCTACTCTAATTCGAATGTCCCAAACCCCCATTGACTAAAAGAAATAGACTTGATATGAAGTAGAACCTCTATTCTACAAACATCTAGAAAGTACCAGGTCCGAGTCCAGAAGAAGATAAGGATCCCCGACTAGGGATCCGGGACCGGGTCCTGGACGTAGAACGTTACACATAATCTATATTTATACATTTAGGTTAAATAGGAAACAGCATTGAAGTCTATGACATTGACAGTTAAGACGACCAATAGGAAACAACATTTGAAGTGACATTGATAGTCAGGATGACCAATAAGAAACAACAATTAAAGTATGTGACATTGATATCTAGGATGATCATAAAATTGACCAGTGGGAATTAATCAACAGGAATCGATCAATAGTTCTCTTAGGATATTGAATGAATATCGTAACAGTTTGTTAACTAAAATTTAAGTGTAAGGAACAGAGATAATGTGTTGTTGAATTTGTTAATAATGATGAATAGCACCGAGATAAGAAATTTATCGCAAACTTGATGAAAAATAAGAATTCACTAATCATTGTTGAATCAAATTTAAATTGGATTTCTTAAAGTTCTAGTCAGAAGATGAAATACATATATATGCATATTTTAATGAAAATCCCCATATACTACTTACTAATCAAATTGGAACTGTAAACTTTAAACAATGGAATAAAAGTGCATTCATTGTACAGTATCATACATAACTTGTCATTTAAATTGAAGGCTTTCTTTCATGTGAGATAATGTGGTGAACACTGATCAATAGATCAAATGTAAAATGAGTTAGATGTCTAATGATTCATCCTTCTTTTGCAAAATGTTCTACAAGTTTACAATGAGATTTGATTATACACTGATATAGATTTGTAACCAGAAAAGTTTCGTTAATAATGTGTAGATAGATTTGCAACTGGGAAAATGTCATGCGTGGGATAAATAGAACGAAGAACTACTTTCACATTAGCTTTCCATCATAACCAGTCAAGTGGTAGTATGTTAATAGGAATTTCAACTTTACAGATATCTTCTCAGTAAGGATTAGTGTCGAAATCCCTAATGAATACTAGTGTAGTGCGAGCTACTTATAAGTAGTATATGACGTGAGTGTCAACGTAATGTCTGGCAGCCGAAGATAGGGGGGAAGATCAAGTAAGGAAGAGTGAGAACACAATGGAATTTGTATGAAACGCATGAATAGTGACAATGGATTGATGTTTTGCAACAGGAACAGTCCAGTTCGATATGATGAAATGATATTTTGCAAATTAACGATTGACGATATGGTTTTCCAATTTTACTGAGTAACTCTGTAATTCTCGTTAAATACAATTCGGTTGCCCTCACCTGTGTTCTCGTTCACAACACTACGAGTACGAAGCAGGGCTTAGAGAACACGTTTTATTCTTTAGTTTAACCAGAAACTTTACAGTTAGTTGATTGAATTGCAGTCGGACCACGTCCACATTTTTATGGCAAAACTAGAAAATGTTCCATTGAAGAACAAACTTAGCAAGCCGCCATAATGCACCTGATACATTGGCGATTTCTATATAGCACCTTCAAATTCAATGAACAAAGTTAATCTACATAAAAGATTTGACTGCATCCTACCATCTGTCACCTTCATATTAAAAGAAGAGTCTATTGTATGATATATTGTTTACACTAACACCTTTTTGAAGAGAACGTTGACCATTGTTGTCGGTCTATCCATATCTGATGTTAATCCTTCAATTGTCATGACATCTAGTCCTGATGGCCTGTCATTCATGATGTCCGGGGTGATTTCCTCTGTTATTGAGGTGTTATGATCAATAATGATGTCTGCGTGTGCTGTTTCAATGTCCGTTAGTGGAGTAGTGATGGTCAACTTGAGAGCTCTTCAGAGTGTTTTATCCAGTCGCTCTTCTGTTGTTGAACATGGGTGACTGGTATGGATAGTTTATTCCTGAATGGTCACTCTAGTCTATCATATTTCATTGTCAGGTTATTCGTATACTATAGTTCTTTCACATTTGCTTCTGTTGTACATTTTTCCGTTGTATTTGTCAAGTCAGTCAAACATTTCTGTTAGTTACTTGTGATGTTATACTTCGTTTATTGGTTTGCCTCTCTATGCTGAACACATCCCTTGTCTATGTCTGCTTCTATTCGGATGTTGTTGACTGCCATCTTCTTGAGATCCGCCCTGTTTATCTATAGAGCTCTTTTTATACTGTGATACTCTGTGCAGCCTAAGACTTTTTAGGATGTTGAAGTAATTGTTTTTCTAGTACCTTTTCAGTAACTCACATTTGTGGATTACTCTTTTGTCAGTAGATTTGTTAAGATTTGGAACCTATTGTTGAGATTTATTTGGACATAGCCAAGTTGGTAAGGATCTGAACTATCGGTTGTATTACGCATTATAGTTTTGCTTATTCAAACATCCAACGTCTCTTCGTCTTCCGGGTTAGCTTGACTAGCATCACTTAGTGATGGGAAGCTACTCTAGCTCCTCATTTTGTCCTTGCGTTTTCGATGGACCATGCGAAATTCCACTCGTGCATATGTGATCGATCCGGTTTTCTCAGTGTGATTCTGAGAAATGTGTGTATCTTTGTACCTCTCATTAAACTGGTCTTTATCATCTACACTGCCTTCTTCATTTAATAACTATGTATCAGTGGGTAACACTGATTATAACGTTTTGCTTGTTTGCCTTGAGGAATGTTATGTTGATCCCATAACCTTTAGCTTCTCACTCTAAAAGTGTATCGGTGCTTGTTCAAAGAGCATCAGTGAATCTCCTTGTGTGTGTGTGTGTGCGTGAATGGAGGGATACTTTCTTCTTCGTGACCGGAATACAACCACATACCTGGTGAATTCAGTATTTTCTATCCAGTGGGCTTCACACACTGAAATGATGATCAGATTGCTGCGCCTTTTTACTTCTAAGACTATTTGAAGGACATTGTCAGTCTCCCATACTGTCTAAACATGACATATCTCTATGGCTTTTATTCTGATGCTGAATTAGTCTTCTTCCGTAGGAAGACCTTCAAAATTCCAGTAGATAGTTAAAGTATTTGAAATGATATGTTTTGGATTCGTGCTTTTACAGTACGCGCCTTTTTTTGTAAGGAGATCCAACATACATGGAATTAAACCAGTTTTGTAGCTGTATTCGATTCGATGTAGGGTTCACCTAGTTTGGTGGACCGTTATAAATCTCCCCATCAGTTTTCGTATACTAAACTTAGGCGAACCCCGTTTGTGCGACGTCAGTAATAAGAAGCCAAATATTTCAGGCAAATATTCATGAAGACATGATAATAATGAGAAGTATACAAGCAAAGCGGAACGATGCGAAGTGGAGTAGAGAAGGCGAGAGAGCCAACTCATTTCGATGAAACATGACTAAGAATCTGCAGTCAGACAGAAACAAGCTAGACATGTAATCAGCGAAGATAAGCGGACACACAACGAATAAAAGCAACACAGATATGAGCGAATGACTGACAGGGTCAAAAGGCAAATGGGACAGAGCCTTGTGAGCTAGACATGAAAGCACTCACTCACTACACCAGAAATAAAATGCACCACTGTGGATGACAAACTATTCTCCTTGTTGACTACTGAATGTGGAACAACAAGTGATGAGAATTTCTTTTAGATATTTCATTTTTAAGGTCATACAATAACAAACGTTCACATGTATCACGATTACAATGTATGATACGTAAATTTAGTAACAATAAATTTTTAAACTTAGTAACGTATGAGTAAAATAAATTAAAGTATAAAACTGTTTTTCTCATCTAGTGAATGACACATGAAATTCCTTACATATGAAAAATTCATAAAAAAGCTCACTGAAATCAATCAAAAATGAGTACACTCACATAAAGGAATAATATATTATCAATACATATATTTAAAAACGAAAGTTCTAGAAGACTAGATTAAATAGTTTCTAAATAAGAGTTCGACAGGAGAGTAGAGTAATTTCATTTGTAAAAATCATGAATTTACGGTTTTGACAGGAACGGTTGATTAAGTTAGCTTTTTTAAACATCAAATTTAGGTTTATTTATGCGTTTGCGGTTAGCAGAGACTGTGTAACCACAACGTTCTACTTTTATTGTGACATACTTGTTTTTCTACCTTATGGCAAACCAAAGGAATGTCGAGAAATTGAATGAAACTAAACATAAGAATTTTCAAATTATATATATATATATATATATATATAACGATTTCCTATTGATTTTTGTAAATGTTGTCTTTTAATGAGTAGATAACCTTTTTCTTGTCTAAATATTTTATCTTCATTAAATTGTCGAACTGTAACAACAAATTGAACATTCACTGCAGATTGAACATTTAATCACTTCAATCATATTGATTCACTCTTAGCCATATTCCTTTGACAAAATACTAACCAACACTGGTGTAGTATATACATTGGATATTGATGACTAGTTGATATTTTTTATGATTTTCAGTCAATAATAACCTAAACTATAAATGTCCTTGATTTACGATCGAATTTAGTAAAAAAACCCGAATTAACCAATCACAATCAAGCTTTACCTTCTATTCTAATTGGTTAAACAAGACTAAAATGTTAAATGGAAAGAAATTAGTCATTTTTTAAATTTATTTATTGGATTAACGGAGTGTTGTAGTGAAGTTGATTGTCTATAATAGCAAGTTAGTTATTTTTGTTAGTATATTGTTGATAAACTTTGATTTATGAAAGGTTGTATTTTATAGTTTTTGTATTATTGCTTTAAATATTCCTGGAATTATTAATTTCAAACTTAATAACTAAGCTTAATAGAGTTTAGGCACGTGACACACATATATCAATTGCACTAAATGAATTGATTACAAATTTGTTTGAATACACTTAACTTTTCCAATAGTTGAATGCGTTTTCATTTTGTTAACAAACCGATGTTGCAAGGATCAAACTATGCGGATCATAATCTAGCTCTCTTCCTCTCATTCATAGTGATCAACTGTTGAAGTATGATGCTTCACAGAGGAACCCATCTAATTGAAGATCTGGTTTTTTTCGTGGTAATCTCATTTTTTACTGAAATATCTACTGTTGTTCTGGACTAACAACATCATCCTTATCATCAATAGCAACGTTTTATGGTGTAGGAGTCTGTCAGATGCAACGTACAACTTCGTACGTAAGTACATTAGTTCAAGTTGCCATACCACATTAGTACAGAGATGCTATTGTCAATTTAAATCCCATAGTAGAAGAGGTAGTAAAGGTATTAGAAGTCATCGGAGAGGTTAGGATGAGAAGATATTCAAGAAATATGATCCAGTGAGAAAAGTTTAGAAAGTCAAAACTAGAGGGGTTGAAGAATCCAGAAGATTAGGATTTGAGAGAACACAAAGAATAAATGCACCTGCGCCATTGCAAACGGTTTTGAGCCATGTCATTCAGGGTCTCCAACCATCGATTATTATCATCTCGCGGACCCCAACCAGGTAGTCGACAATTATCGACATGACTCAGTCCACTTGTCAGTGACTTCATGGATTTCTGCCATGTTTTGGTTTGGCCGCCCCTAACTTCCTTTCAACCTACTCCTACACTACAAAACAAAGCTCGTCGAGGCAGTCCGTGGTTAGGCATGAGCAACACATGTCCCAACCACCTCAACCACCACTTCAGTAGTCGGAGAGATTAGGGTTCGAAGATGTTATTCAATGAGGTAAATTTAGAAAGAGAAAGATAGAGGTGATGAGGAATTCAAAAGGTTAGGACTTGAGAGGAAAAACGTTAACAAGATAAAATATGTCAGATCATATAAACTCTGCTCTGGGAGTTAGAAGATCTTCATTTAGAAGATTTATGAGGTCTCCTGATGAAAGCCGAGTTCCTTCGAAAGTCATGAGGTCGATGACCGTTTTGACAACCAGAACCCTTCCATAGTGTGGTCAGCCGGCATGTTACATCCACCCTCATACCCATTAAAAGGGCACATAACAAATCCAGTACGTTCATAGGTATTGCTAATCTCATGACTAACCCATCTTTTTTCTTAATCTTCAGTATTCAATATGTAATTCTTTTTCAGTTTTTAAATATCTTCATAAGGATATCAATTTATTTTATCTATCTTATAGTGTATTGAGTAGTTGGGAAATTTCTCCCATATACATACACGTAGACTATCCGATTTGATAATCACCATTGAATCAGTCCTTTTAACCTTACCCCCTATAAAATATTATTCCATATTATATTTAATTATATTATAATATATATATGCTGTTTTAGGCATATTTTAAAGCACCCCAAAAACGCATAACTATACCAAGAAGCTCATTGAAAATTTCAAACTTTTGTAACTTCTAAAAATCACCCTATCTGCCTATAAAATTTTTACCAATTTTTACACCAAATTTTACCATAACTGCTCTTGTTTTACTCATATCAATTATCAATGTTCAATAGAACGTACAATTCATCAAAATCGTTTTGTAAACTGACTAAGGATAGAATTATTAGTTGTTAAATAATCAATGACATTGTCAGTGAATCGTCCTCTCAAAAGTTTCAATACAGTTTTAAAATAAGTTGATATCTGTTTTACTGAAGTAGACAATTGTAATAATTGAGTTTTTTTTAAAAAAAATGATACTTTGGTTAAATAAATTTCATCGATACAACATATATCGGGCTTATGGATTCATGAATATTTTGACAATCTATTCTACTAGAAATCATGTTTTACATTTTTAAAGAATCAATCGATTGCTCAAATATCAATCAACCAACTATTATTTTTCAGAACTGGTAATGGGAGAGTAGAAATGAATATAAATTTTGTAAATTTTGATAGATAAGCTCAGAATATTGAATGTCTCGTTAGTTTTTAAAGACTTATTACCCTGGTAAACTTGATGGATTAGCGGAACCTAAGTGTTTTAGTTTAGTTTGATTGCAACTTTCCAGATTTATGAATTTGAGAAAAGTGTAATGGGACCTTTTCGGTTTCTCTATGCATTCTATACACTATTATAAGCAATTTATAACAATATCTGTGTCATGTATCAAAAAAAACACATTTTACACGAGTTAGCGGTGGCGGATACTACTCAAAGCATGGTTTACAAGTTGAATGCGGAAGCGTGTCGAACAGAATTTGTCATGGCGTCGAGTCGAAATTGACTATGATCACTATTACAGACCGATTACGTGTACGTCGCTGCGAAGATAGGTTACTTACTTACGCCTGTTACCGTCAATGGAGCATAGGCCGCCCACCAGTTTTCTCCAACCAACTCTGTCATGGGCTTCCCTTTCCAGTTCTGTCCAATTTTTATTCATTCTTCTCATATCTTTCTCTATTTCTCGGCGTAATGTGTTCCATGGCTTTCCTCTTTTCCTTTTGTCTTGAGGGTTCCATGTGAGGGCTTGACTCGTGATGCAGTTAGGTGCCTTTCGTAGTGTGTGTCCTATCCACTTCCACACCTTCTTCCTGATTTTCTCCTCCACTGGAACCTGGTTTGTTTTCTCCCACAGTACGTTGTTGCTGATCATGTCTGGCCAATGAATCCGAAGTATTTTGCGTAGACAACTGTTCATAAATACTTGTATCTTCTGGATCATGGCTTTGGTATTTCTCCAAGTTTCCGCTCCATACAAAAGAATATATTTGCTGGCGATTTCGTGGTATCGAAATGATACTGAAATCGTGCCAGAAAAGAAGGGCGAAATTACAGATAGCAGTGAAGCCAAAATGACAGCATTACAAACGGAAAGTTTGCGCGTTTAAATTAGTAATAAACAAAGAGGTTCAGCAAAACAATCACTGGCACAATTGGTTATGATAATGAATGTTTCTATTAAACCAATCGAGTTCTCTTCATAAAAGTGGAATCACTATAAATTTACGACCGGAGTGAAGAATGTTTGATCGGAAAGTATAATTCTGTCAGAGTGTTTTGAAGGGTATAAGATATGAAGTACAGTGTTTACTAGTGAATTGCATCTTCAAATATATTACTCATTTCCTATGGTCTTAACATCTTCGTTCGTTACATTGGTACTCCACGCCTTGCCTCAAAACTACTATTCGATGACTCAGTATATACGATCAATACTTCGAACACGTCTATGGTCTGATTTTCGTAACCTACGAATATCCTCTATTGCTGACGAGCATGTTTCATACTTATCAGGTGGAACAGTATGAACAGTTGCACAGTAAACTCATTCTTCCATTGACTGACGTACATCTTGCCCACACAATAAGTGATGCAAGTTGGCGAATGTTAACTGACCTCTGTCACCTTGTGTCAGAATTTCGTCAGAAACCAACACACTAGCGTTGATGAGACTTGAGATTTGAGTGAAGCGATTGATGCAATTGAGTACTTCACTGTATGTATTGTTAGTGTGTCGTTTGACACAAACTAGTCCATACTTAACACTTTGTGTTCGTATATAGAGATACGCATCCGATTATTGTGGTCTGAACTTTCTGAGTTTTGTCGGGGTCTAAACTGAACAGAAATCTGCCATCGCTGTGTATAATAAGTTAATGAGGAAATGTTGTACAAGATGAGAATGTGTCTCTATAAGCACTTCTACGACAAAGTGCCAAAATTGAAGTAGATGGATTTCCTTCAGGAACCATTCTCCGAACCTTTGACTTACAGATCTAATAGACAAGGCAGTGGAGTAACATCAGGCGACGCAGTCCTACGGTAGCCAGTGACCAACAGTACACTCAGATACTGTTTGTTCTTTCAGGTTCTTGAAGTCAATTTTCTACTTTCCCTCAGCGGATCCTCCATACCCACCAACACGTTTTGAGCGCCAAAACCGACACTTCATTTTGATTCTCTCAATTTCATAAACAACACCCTCGTCTCTAGAAAGAATTACTCTATCAGTGGAAATACACACCTAATCAACACAGACGCTCTCCATTTTCATCCTTACCAAGGCATTTGCGAGAGTTATTGTAGAGAGTTTAGCTAAACTAATTAACTCAAATGTGAATTTTATTGAATATTATAAATACACTCAAATAATCTTTCAATTTCTGGCCTATTCTTATCTATTTATTATTTATTGATATGACTTAACCTCAATGTGAATAGAGACCGATTTTCAATTGTACAAGAATAAAGTTGATATGATATGTGTAGAAGCAATACATTGCTTATTGATCCGTGACCATGATTTTCTCTGTTCAATAATCATCATCATCTGTTCATTAGCAAATAAATAAACAATGAAAAGAATTTACCTGCATTCTGTTTATTTAACAAGAATTTTTTAATGATACATACACACACACGGCACTACACACACCTACATTTCTTTCTTGCATTGATGCGTTAGTAACCCATGCTTTCTTCTTTATGTGTCGATATTTACAATTTTTATAGTTTTATTGTTTTTGCTACTGATATCATTAGTGTGAGATGTGATAGAGAAAATAAACGATCAATTGAGTAGCTGGCCACAGATTACACATACAATAACTAACTAAGCATAAACTCTACAAAATTTTAAAAAAACCAACGGTTTCATTGTAAACTATAAATGTAACCTGAAAAGTAGTGACAATTAGTGATGGACAATGTGATGGACACTGTTCACAACGTGGCTTAGACGTAGAATACAAATGAGAATCGATTGGAATTTCAGTCAGTCAGTCAGATGCAACATAGAACTTTGTACATAAGTACATCAGTTCATGTTGCCATACCACATCAGCACAGAGAAGTAATCGTCAATTCAAATCCAATAGTAGAAGAGGTAGTAAGGGAATTAGAAGTAATCGGAGAGGTTAGGATTAGAAGATATTATTGAAGAAGTATGATTCAGTGAGAAAAGTTTAGAAAGTCGAAACTAGAGGTGTTGAAGAATCCAGAAGATTAGCATTTGAGAGAACACAAAGAATAAATGCACCGGCGCCATTGCGAACGATTTTGAGCCATCTCATTCAAGGTCTCTAACCATCCATTATTATCATCTCGCGGACCCCAACCAGGTAGTCGACTATTACCGACTGGAATTTCACAACATGGGAGAGAAGAAAGTTCGATTTGAGTGCATTGGAGAGCTGCTACTCCTTTGTGATAGAATCAGCAAAATGTAACTTGCTTGAAACCATCTTCATTACCGAAGATCGTTGTTGATGCTTGTATAGATATATTTTTGAGAATGAGCTGAAGTATTCATAAAAATCTATGACCATTTCAAAGAGAATCAAATTGTTGACAATTTATACCAAACAAAAGTCCAATATTCATGACTTTAATTGCTGATCTAAATAACATCGTATGCTTAATTACTACTATTGATTTGATAATCAGTTTATGTGACATGTTGATATGATGAACTGTAGTTCAAAATATTTTAACAATTGTCAATTATGTGTAGATACAATTTTTGGATAAAACAAATTTAACCTAACTCAAAGATTTTAGATTGGTATCACCAATCAATACTGCGATCAAATGTTAACACCATCTATACTGAACACTGATATATCATCACTCATTATATAATCGTTGTAGCGAGTCTTCCATAGAAAATACCACAAAATCAAACTTATCTATTCATTGGAGTGTGGAACAAATACAATCGACTAGTACTGTAGTGAACAAGTTTAATTAAATACAAAAGACGTTCATAAATGCAAAGAACTGCCTGACAACTTGACATCTTCTTCTTCTCCTATTCTTTCGCCTGTTACCCCCAATAGAGCATAAGCTGCCAACCATTTTTCTCCAACGAACTCTGTCCTGGGCTTCCCTTTCCAATTCTGTCCAATGTTTGTTCATTCCTCTCATGTCTTTCTTTATTTCTCGGCGTAATATGTTCCTTGGCCTTCCTCTTTTCCTCTTGCACTGAGGGTTCCATGTGAGGGCTTGTCTTGTGACGCAGTTAGGTGCTTTTCGTAATGTGTATCCTATCCACTTCCATCGCTTCTTCCTGATTTCCAACTCCGCTAGAATCTGACTTGTTCTCTCCCACAGTACGTTGTTGCTGATAGTGTCTGGCCAACGAATTCGAAGTATTTTGAGTAGACAACTGTTAATAAACACTTGTATCTTCTGGATGACGGCTTTGGTGGTTCTCCATGTTTCCGCTCCATACAGTAGAACTGTCTTGACATTTGTATTGAAAATCCTGATTTTGGTGTTGATTGATATTTGTTTGGAGTTCCAGATATTTTTCAACTGTAGAAATATGCAGCCCTCGCTTTGCCAATCCGCGCCTTCACATCTTCATGGGAACCACCTTTCTCGTCGATGATGCTGCCAAGATATGTAAAGGTGTTAACGTCCTCCTTTATCAACTTAATAAATCTCTATAAACCAACCGGTAAGCCGATTATGATAATTGACTCAACAATTCAATGATTCAAATTGTAGATGAATGTACGTTTAAATCAGATGATACTCTGATGATACTCTGTTGTTATTTTCTTTTTTCTATCTATCTTAGCAATTTCACATCTTTATGCAATTATCACCATTCTTTCGTATGATTCTAATATACACAATGGGTATGTTTGGTGGTGGACTCATTGTACACATCTACCATGCACAACATGAAGAGAATACGTATAATGCAGCATTGTTGGCAGCTGCCAAGTCACCGAAACTCATCACAAACGACAATGCATACCAACAGTTGAGTAGGTTAGATTTCTGTTAAAATGACTGTCAATTCTATTGAAAATTACAGTTCATTCAAACGATTCAATACATGAACATGCATTACAACATTTAGGTAAGTGTGTGTTAGTTTCGATTTGAAATGTGCAACCTTAGTGTTTAATTGTGGTGTGTCATTGTCTCACACTTTATTCTATCTACCCTCAATGACTTAACTGGACCACATAAACAAAGAACTCCTCTTAACTCATACTTTTGATGATTTTATCGAAATGGTTGTTCAATTTTAGTGTCATTCTGTGTTACCGTCTTTTGACAATTGATAGTGCTCATTGAAATGATGGATTGGTTTGTAAATACTTGTTCTCTTCAGTTTTAATTTCGGTAAACAAAACTGCTCACACTTGGTTGATTTCTCAGAAATTTTTCTGCGTCTCTACAGCAAACTCAGAAGTACACTTCTCATATTTCATGAGCAGATTACAGCCATTCATCTGTAGTCGAAATAAATATCCACTGTAAAAACAACGAAAATTTGAAGTAGAAGGATGTTTAAGACTTCCCCTAATTCATTTCATCTCGACCTCTACATTTCGCAAATATGTCATCCCCTTTGATATGCAGAGTAAAGTAGGGTATTCCAGAAGGATGTTTGGTCTCATCTTTTTATTTAGGTTCTTTTCTGATTTCTGATTCACTAGTTCACTTGATACTGTGTTGTCATCAATAAACAGCATGAATTACAGTATGTGGATTCAACGCTGATCTATAGAGTTACTGACTCTTCTTATAAATTATATGAATGAGCGCGATCATTCAGAATAGGTTCGCAGTAATAGAAGTGCGAGCGAAAATGAGACTGTCAAACAGGCGATTGAAAAATGATACAGTTATTAATTCTGCACATCAAAAAACCATGATAATCAATCTGTGTCGGTACTAGATTCTTATTAACGACTGTTCAATTTTCAATCCGCTTTGATTCTGTTACTGTTCCAGAGCATCGATAAATTCCCATAAAACTGGATGACCGACACCAATACATTGTTTCAAGTTTCCATTCCACCAATCTAGATCATTGTTCATTTTAGGATGCTCTTCTACGACAGAGGACGAATCGAACGTACTGCACATCATGAGACATGTTAACTCCTCTCTTCGCACCTTTTTTTCATAATAGCCCTTTATTGAACCATGAATGTGGGATGAGATAAATTCACTTGATTTGTTTTGTGACATACTGTTTTTGATTTTTTTTTACACATTAAGCTGAAGCAACATTGGCCAATGCATTAGCTAAACAAGTACGTGTATTCTGTTGGATATTAACAATGCCCAAAAATCATCAATCAAAAGCTGTTCATGTGAAAGCTACATGGGCTGGTCGATGTAATAAGTATTTATTCATCAGTAGTGAAACTGATGACAGACTTCCTTCAATAGGTAAGTGATTTATTGATCAATTATTCGTGATTGAATTGCCAACAAGATAATTATCGTGATTGTTGATAGTGTTTACTCTGTTTATTATTAAATCACATTTGTGAAACCATGAATCGATCAATGTTAGACCACCGTTAAAATGTTAGAAGCAATGGACGGCCATTTCGTCATGGTATGGGACTCATCAGCAGTGGGCATCCATGACTCCTGCACCTCGCAGGATTCGAACCCAGGACCTTCAGTATTGTGCGCGAACGCCTAACCATCGGACCAATGGGCCGGAATCTAACGGTGTTAATGTCTAACTTGATTCAATTCAATTATTAAATCGTTTGAAAATAATATACATTCAGATTGTTAGTGAGTATTGAAGGATTTATGAAACATGTTTAAACCAATATTTTGATGATGCATCAGTAACCTTTAAGGTGCAAATTCATGACAATTTACTTTTCCTCATAAGAATGACACAGTTATGATCGTACGACTTGTTGAATTGTATGTACCAGTGTTTTGAGAAATAACCTTTCATGTGACCAAACGGAAAGTAACAAGCATTTTCATGCATCTAACAACACTATAAATTATCCTGTTCACTTCTTGAAATAACTTACATTACCCCTATCAATAGTTGTACTACGATATCATCTTTAAAGCTTTATAGGACTATTTAAACTACATTATTCGAAGTTACGCATTAGCACCGTTCAGTAGCGGCTTAATGATCCAGGGTTTAGGCGTTTGCGCGCATGCACGAAGGTCCTGGGTTCGAAGCCTGGGAGTCGCAGGAGTTGTGGATGGGCACTGCCACTGATCCGTCCAATGCCAGGACAAAACAGCCGTCCAGTACTTCCGGGTTTCTAATTCTGGTCCAATATTGATTGGTCATTATTTCGAAAGGTAACTCAACAATCTTCACGACCACAAACGAGTTTAAGGACTGATTGATTAGTTTACTTGCTGATGTGCACCTATTATCCGTTCTCATTAGTTTTCTTAAATCGTCCACTGTAAATGGTGACAATGTATCAAATGAATATTAGTGACTGGAAGAACTGTTCCGCTATCGACTTTCAGAGAGAGTAACTCTGATATGAAACTACAATGAGAACAAACAAAATGCCTTCAAAGGAATATTCCAAGAATCTTCTATGGCGAACAGTGTAATTCTTACTAATAAATTAAAATAAATAGTATCATAGAAATAAATTATTTAGATGAAAATTCGAAATCGATGTTCGAACGGACATATCACACAATTATTGATTACTCACTCATGAACCAATCAAATGATAGAATGACAGTGATCTCTTATTGGTTGCATTGTTTTCTCATGTGTCACATATTTCAGACAATCACTTGCACTGTCACAATAGAGAGATGAATTTGCGAATTTTGTGTTCCATGCGGAAATGAATAGTCTTCCACTCATGCGTCTTGTGAAGAACAAACGATAGAAATTAGTTTGTTCCATTCAAAATTGTAAAAACAGAAATGATTTTCCTTTCATAGAATAAAACTTATCAGGTTTAGTGTGTGTTGAGAGCCTAGTTATTCAAATGTACACTGTTAATGAGAAGTGAATCAACCTTCACACAAACACTTAATCCTAGCACAAGTCTTATCTCTGAACGCATGATCCTGTCCATTCACTCTACTCCGAAATATCTTCAGCACTAAATTTATAATACCATTGTTAATTCTCAATTATTAATCCTTAATAAAAGTGTGAGAATTCCTAACAATCTATGTCAGTTATTACAGATGGTTTGACAAGTCGGATAATCTAAATTCAGATGGATATTTCGTATCGTCGAGTTATCAACAGAACAACATGTTGATCTCAATAGTCATTGTTAACGTAGACTGGTCATGGTGTGAATATTTCTTCTACAAACTATTCATTCATACAAGCTGTTTTCTGACTGTCTTACAACTAGGTGAGATTAGTTGCATTTGCTTCAAAAACTCATCCATATACTGCGGTCTAAATTAAAGATCAACACTGATAAAGAAGTAACCGGTTTAGATGGCAAAGAGAACATAGGTGTTCAGCGGGTATACTTATTCACGAATATTATGGAAGCATTACACTGTACAAAATATTCCTTTCATTGTTCATCATTCAATGCCGTTTGCATACATAAGTCTACATTTCTCTAGAATTTCACTCAATCCTACTTCATGTACACTCACGAACGAATCTTTAATTTAACACACATCACAATAACGTCGTTTTCTGTTTCCAGTAGAGAATATTGTTTGTTCTAAGTCCGTTAACACTCTTCTGATCACAATCAAGAGAAATAACGTTATGATAATACTTCGATAAACTCCTTTCACAACTCTGTTTATTTCATAATACCTCTCTCCACCGTCATGGACTAATATGCATAGAATAGCTGTAAGTGTAATCTTGTCCAGCTGTGTTTAGTGTAATGATAATGTCTGAACGAAGCTTTTCATTTTGTAAATATCTTTATCTCCTTTCATAACACAATGACTAGCTTTCGACTATCAATACCAATTTGTTAATGTGGCTGTTTTTGTGACTGATGTGGCATTTCGGTGACGAAACACGGTTATCATATCAACTGAGAACTGGTTATTTATGCTAAAACTAGCTTCTGCTAGATTTTCAACTCAAATAGCATCTACGCTGAACTTACCGTCAGTACATTCTGTCTTTCACACACGCATCTACAATGTACTGACAAACAAGTCTTTTTAATTGATCGGATAATCTTCAGTGGTTTCGAATTTCTTCCAAATTCTTTCTAATCTTGTTAAAATCATGTTGAATAACTCAATAGAATTAATCAATGACCAACTACAATCATTCTGATATGTCACTTTGATAATTGGAAGTCTAAGATTACAAAGAGGTCATTTTTTAATATTAAATACTAATCGATACCAAACAGTCACATGTTCTAACTTATTTACAGCTCATATTTAAACTGAACCAGACTAGATTTTTCTCAACTACTATGAAGACGCCATATTGATGGTTGGATTATCAATCAGTATACAATGAATGTCTGTCCTCATGATTTGTTTGCTTACCTACATTTTTTTTTACTGAAAAAAAAATATTCACAAGTTAATCTACATCTTCTCATTAAATTTGTTTCAATCTATTTATTGGAGTCGTTTCAATACAACACAACTGATTGTGACACACAGTATGTGTGACCGTATTTAGTTTCAAAGCACTCAAAACTATGAAGAACATCTCATTTAGGTTAACTGACGTAACGTACCTAGATCAGAAATCAAGATATTGATCTTGAGAAGCCTATCGCTCACTAAATAATACGCTTTGGCTCTTCATTTTATAGCAAAGGTTATGTTGTATCGATTATCGATTATTTTAGGGGTTGTTATCATCAGTATCAACTGTATTTCATACTTTGAACTATGGATTACAGTTAATAAAGATGAAACATGATTTGTAAGCACGTGTTTAATATTACGAATGTAAACACTTTAATCAACGAACTATTCTCGTTAATTATGTTCGATCTAGTCTATAAGTTAAGTTTTCATAAAACTACACTACTTACGATGATAGGTTAGTAGTATGTGAGAATGTAATCTGTCAAAGAACTCGGTATGTGTAAGTCAGAATCGTTGAGATTCCTGTATATTTTTTTAAAAATAAAGAACTTTAATCAATAAAAGAAAAAATGATTTAAAAAAATCGAGATATGTGTGATTAGCTACTTAGCCTGAGTTGAAAACATTTCTACACAGAATTCAGAAACTGAGAACTGTAAAGTCTCCATGGTGATCATGATTCTTTTGAACGACTAAATAGGAACCTGATAGTCTATAAAGATATTATCATACGTTAATTTTGCAGTAACAATATATTATTCCCAATTAGAATCTTGCGAATTCCTCATTACCTTGATCTTTCTCTTTCTAAGTTTATTTTACTGAACTACATTTCTTGAATAATTTCTTCGAACACTAATCTTCTCCATTATCTCTAATACTTCCACTATCTCTACCACTATGGGATTTGAACTGACAATTGCGTTTCTGTGCTAATGTTGTAATGGTAACCCTAACTTATGTCTGTACGTACGAAGTCCTACATTGTAACTGACTGACTGACTGACCCAATTAGAATTAGTTTACAGGTCATGGGGAGAGGGCCAATCAGAAGTGACTAAGTGACGTCACTAATGGCAACCAAAAATGACAAATGCATATCATTAGTCTAGGAATGGATTCATTTTTTTAAGTGCAAGGATTAGAATTCCTCTCTCACTCACTGCCTTCTCAGTGAAGTTGTCATTTGAAGGTGGAGATCAGTACATACCACATTCAAATCTTGAACTATGCATATCATAACACATGGCTTCCTCGTTTTTCATTGGTTTGGCGGTTAATATTTGTATGTAAAGCAAAATTTACTGTTTACTACGTTCAACTAAGTAAAAGTAAGTAGGGCAGTTTAAACACATGGAATACCTTCATTTGATTTAATATAGGAAAAAAGAAAGTAATCAAATTGTTTATACAAACTGTCACTAAAACATCTAAATGTGAGCAGAAAGCAATGAAACATTTTACTAAAGCTCTCTAGGTCTAAATTTAGGAGAGTTATCACACCATATGATAAAAGGCAAGATTCTTCAAGAGTTACCAAACTGACAGCTCTCTTCTTATACACAAAACATAGGAATATACTCCATCGAGACAATCCGGAAGACTGACAGTATCCTTCAAGTAGTCTGAGAAGTGAGAAAGTTCATTCTGACCATTCTTTGATAAGTGAAACTCACCAAACACAATCTGGACAGACAAGACGGAATTCAAGAGATGTTGATGTATTCTGATTAAGAAGAAAATGTCCCTACACACACAATAGAAGAGATTCACTGATGATCTCCGAACAAACCCAAATCCACCTATAATATGGGAAATTATTCACCATGGGATCAACAACTTGCCCTAACCCTAACCGTCATCGAACAGTGGTCGCCAGTCAGCATTTTCTAAGTCTGTACAAAGCTCTCCCTTCTAGCTTTAACTCATTCTTTTCATATCTACTTCTGATTCTCGATGCCACCTTTTATTTTGTCTGCCTCTTATCCTTTGGCCGTCAGTAGCCCTTCTAGGCCTATTGCTGGTCTTTAACTCAGATAAAGTGGGAAGGTTGCATATGAGGGTTGACAATCCCATCCCGTAAATATGACTTGTTTACGTGTATGCGTAACATGAATTTACATGAAGCAGTATCGAGTGAAATTCCAGAGTAATGTAGACTTATATATGTACGTGGCATTGAACGATGGATAATGAGAGGAATATTTTGTACAGTGTAATGCTTCCATAATATTCGTGAATAAGTATACTCGCTGAACACATATGTTCTCTTTGCCATATAAACCGATTACTTGTATATCAGTGTTGATCATCAAGTTAAATTGTAATATATGGCTGAGTTTGTGAAGCAAATGCAACTAGTCACAGCTAGTTGTAAGCCAATCAGAAAACAACTTTCATGAACGAGTTGTTTGTAAAAGAAATATTCACACCATGACTGGTCTACATCAATAATGACTATTGAAATCAACATGTTGTTCTGTTGATAACTCGACGATACGAAATATCCATCTGGATTTAGATTATCCGACTTGTCAAACCATCTGTAATAACTGACAGAGATTATTAGGAATTCTCATTATTCAGGATTAATTATTGAGGATTTTAACAGTGGTATTATAAATTTCGTGTTGGATTTATTTCGGAGTAGAGTGAATGGACAGAATTATGTGTTCAGAGTTAAGTCTTGTGTTCGGATTAAGTGTTTGTGTTAAAGTTGATTCACTTCTCATTAACAGTGTACATGGGAATAACTAGGCTTTTAACACACACACTAAACCTGATAAGTTTTATTCTATGATAGCAAAATCATTTCTGTTTTTATAATTTTGAATGGAACAAAGTGATATCTATCGCTTGTTCTTCAGAAGACGTGTGAGTGGAAGACTATTCATTTCCTTATGGAACACAAAATTTGCAAATTCATTTATTTATTGCGACTATGCAAAAGATTGTCTGAAATACATGACACTTGAGAAAACAATGCAACCAATAAGAGATCAGTGTCATTCTACCATCTGATTGGTGGATGCGTAATCAATATTTTCATCATATTGATCGATGACTCATTCTGTTTGATGGTCTAGCAGATCCGCCAATCGTAATGTTTAATTATTGATGAGTACTATCTGATAACTAATTTCAATGTTGACTTATCAGAATGAACACTGTTCTTTCTTAATCTATAGTTAAACTTCTTTATTCGCTCAAGATCATGTTGTCTTCTTTACCAGTACATACCAGACTGTTAAATCAATGTTTTAATTTGACTAATGTTATTAGCGTTTTGAAACAAGTGTCACAGAAGTTACTCTAATATGGAAAAATTTCTGGTATATTGCGATGTCAATATCTTGTATATGAATTTGATTTCCAAACTGATATACATACATACGAGGAAGTTCACAGTTGAAATTAAACCAATTATTTAAAAGGACATGGTTTGATTCTGACCTAAAATACCTGTTGAAAACGACGGTCGAAAAGCATTCAGAAATAGATTAAGTGCCAATCAACTATCCTTCAGATGCACACTTTAACCAAACAAACTGAATGCGATTTTAACATAGAAACTCAACTCTTGTGAAGTAGACAAAATGATATTTGACGTAGCACTGGGAAGGAGCAGCAGATGTTAATGAAATTGTTACGCCTGCACGTAAACACGTCGTTTTGATATGCTTGAACTATTATGAGTTTACTTAATCGGAAAACGAGAGCGAGGGGATCGGAGGACACGACATGCTACTCAGTCCGATTATCCCAGCCCCCATAGTGAATAAAAGGGGACTTGATATGAAGTAGAACCTGTATTCTACAGGCAGCTAGAAAGTACGAGGTCCGAGTCCAGAAGAGAATCAGGATCCCGGACTAGGGATCCGGGACCGGGTCCTGGTCGTGGTCATAAAATGTTACAGATAATGCGTATTTATACATTTTGGTCGATTAGGAAACAGCATCGAAGTCTGTGACATTGACAGTTAAGAGAACCACTAGGAAGGAACATTTGAAGTGACATTGATAGTCAGGACAACCAATAAGCAATAACATTGGAGCACGTGACATTTATATCTAGGACGACCATAAAATTGACCAGTAGGAATTGACCAATAATTCTCTTAGGATATTGGATGAATATCCTAACAGAAATAATTCCTGAAATTTTAAAGGAAAACGGGAAATTCTGTTCGGCAATATACTGCGTCATCGAATAGTGATTTTGAAGTAAGACATGGAGTACTAGTGTGACGAACGAAGATATTGCCACCATGTGGAATGAGTGATTGATTTGAAGAAGACACAATTGATATCGAAGTGTGTACTCCTTATCGCAAAACTTCTGTTTGCGAAGAAAGCTGATTATCGGCCGTCATTTCCACATGTCTTCTATTCTTCAAAGCGCTCAGACCACGTCCTAAATTCTGATCGAACACTTCCTCCTTGTCGTAAGTCCTGGTCGACACTCCTCTGCCTACTGCTTTCAAGCCACGTTGTGAGTAGTAAACAACACACTGGGTAATTGATTGATGGTGTGGTGATTCTCTGTCGACTGAAATGGTCAGAATCAGTACAAGGCATACCAAAACATCTTCCAACTCGATGTGTGATAATGACCGGTGTAGGAGTAGCTTGGAAGAGTACTGGATCATCCCAATGCAAAACGTGGCATCACTCCATCAATACATTGAATGCCTAACTGAACCATCTATTAACATGCACACTAAGTGGTTTTGAACTGCGTGACTATCTTGAACAATTGAAAGTGACTTCGAGTGACATGGTTGGAAGTTGTTCGTACTGGCTCAGATGCCTTCATCTTTCATCCTCACTTTCTGTGTAAGTTACAGCATTCACCAGGAATGTCATAACTTCACTTTACCCTACTACTCTATGATTATCATTAATGCTGTGGTGATATGGTGACATGATCCGATCTATACATCAGTGATTGACTTGCCTAGTTTCGAAGCCGAATTTGAATATCTGAAAAAAAGATTAATCCTATCATCATCCTATCATCCAATCCAAGTAAACAACATCTTCATGAGACCTCCTTCACTCAATGAGTGCCGTCACCGTATCTAAACTATTTCCGTTTATGATTATCGTTGAACTTGTGTGTTTACTTACTACAATCATCCCTCAATATTCTAATGTATTCATCATTTGTAGCTGTGATCAATTCGGAAGGTCGTAACTTATTATGGAATAAAACAGCTGGGGCTATAAAATACATTGCAAAACATTTTGCTAATGATTATGATTATTTCATGAAAGCTGATGATGATTCATATGTGATTGTAGAGAATTTACGCAAAATTTTACAGAAACAAAATCCTGATAAACCATTTATTATGGGTAGACGATTCAAGGTGAGTTGTCATTGTGCATATTTATTGATTTACATGTTAATGGAGGAGTATTGGGTGTTTATGATGAGTACATTTATTTGTGTGTAACAAGATTATGAAATCATCTGTGAAGTGTTGACCGCGGTGGCTGAACAAATAGGATCTTAAACGAATTTAGGTGTGTCAGTTGTACGAATGATAGGTAGTTCAATGAAAATGAATTCATTGCCTCTCTAGATGGCATTATCAAGTCAATTAATGACACGAATAGTCAGTAATTCAAACAAACATGTCAAAATCATAGTTGTAAGCAAGCTATGATAATTAGAAATATTTGAATTATAGTATGAACTAATAATCCCAGAAATAACGTAAGTGGATCAAGAACTACTAGATAAGCACGAAAGAATGTACTGCATTAAGAATTCGAAATCAAGCATCCAACAACAACAACCAAGAAGTCACTAGTTCATTCAAACACCACGACTGTCACAGCTTAAATTTGAATCAAAGTGTCTGTAATCAATTGTACGTCTCCTTCTCAAGTTCATCCTGTGTCTGTCCGACAGTGTATTGGATAAAGACTCTGTATTATCTAGAATGCACTCATAAGTATTAGAATGAACAACCTGGTTCCTGGGATTGTATTTGATCAACATGTCGATTGTGCGTACTTAAGTCATTGATATCTAGAAGTCGCACCATAGATTTCCCGACATTCTTCAGAACAATCCCCGTGGATGGTCGAAGATCATTTCCACGATAATATGTAACTTCTGCAGACTCCAAACATCTCATATTCGACCGAAGAATTCTTCCTTTTAATAGTTTTGATGGAGTCTCTTTCGTCACCAAATGTCTGGCATTTCTATATTTCAGTAGAAAGGTATCTACTCCCCTCTCCAGCTCATTAAATGTTGAGGCGGCAATAGAATTAATAGGTGAGTGGAGTATCAGATGTTTGTGATGCATAGATTTATTTATGTATGACTAGATGATGCAATCAACTGTGAAATGTTGACTGTGGTGGCCGAACCAATTGAATATGAAACAAACATAGGTTGATTGGTTCGACAAGGGCGATCTCAGCATCTCTTTAGACGGTATCATGAAACATAAACTCTCAACAAGCTAACAAACGTGGTTTTAGTATCTGAGAGAGAGAGAGAAAGAGAGACAGAAAGACCCAGAGAGAGTGATGCTATTCAAATAGTTATCAGTGATACTTCAATTCTTATCAGATATTGATTAACTCTTATCACAAATTACACATTCGAATTGTTGCTTCTATTCACTTGAGTCAACCATTTCCCTCAATCTCTTCCACATTCTTCATCATCTTCTTCATATTCTTCTTCTCCTCCTCTTTGTTGTGCCTTGCAAAGTAGCCATTCGTCAAACAAGGATATATGTCCGGTGGTGGAGGATATGTACTATCTCGTGCTGGTCTGTTAAATATAGCTAATGGTTTAGAAAATAATCCGACATGTCGAAGTAAACAACATGTATTCGCTGAAGATGTGAAACTTGGTAAGTATACATACAATCACTTTTGTGATGTGATGTAACTATGGCATGACTTAGCATCAATCGATTTAACGAAAAATAATTGATATCATTGAGATTTAACATGAAAACTCTATGGCATAGTTGAACTATTTCGAGCGCTTTTTGAAAGTTTGAATATATTGAATAGTGCAATTAGATGAATTGTAGATGCTCAACATTAAATAGTTGGATAGTGGTTGTCTATCTCATCCAGTTCGTGTTGTGTAGCTTATTATCTCCTCAGTGATATTTCACAGTTAGTTAACATGGTGCTAACTTTTGAAGGTATAATATTAGTGTTAGTTGTCTCACTACAAGATATCGATGTGTATCTTCGTGATTAGGGTTAAAACAACAATGGATAAGCAGTAGGACACCAACAATTCTAGCTTGTTCCTATCAGCATTTTTAAATTCTTTGCATTTCGTGTACATCAATAAAGTTGGACAGTTTATAAGTGTAGAACCTGATGCTGACTTAATAAAAACCATCGTTGTCCGATCGCTACATATGAAATGTGTTTCAATATACTGGAGTATTCGAAAATAATCAAACAATTGATGTACTGTGGATTTCAGTCGATGATAATTTTTCTACACTATCTTCTTCTATACATTGTAGGATCATGCGCAGAAGCTACAAACGTCACAGTAGTCGATAGTCTTGATGAAGAAGGACGTGAATGCTTTCATCCATTCTCTCCATCACATATGCTTACAAAAGATTCAAAGGGTTATCCCGACTGGTTTCTGAAATACAATTATCATAGAATCGACACAGTGAGTTTGATTACAAAACATATTTATACGTAAGTGCTAACTACGGGATAGATTAGGATTGATGAGAATTCTACAGAACATCCAGAATCAATTACCTACGAGACCACAGTTAATGGTCACTCGAGATGGTAGCGAACTATCTGAAACGATGTAAAATTAGACAAAACATTCTAGTTTCTGAAAACAAGAAACATTCTTTCATTAATTTGACATTACCAAAGATTTCATAAGTCATAATGAATATTTCACATACTAGACTGATTCTAGATGCAACCCTGTTCCCTTTACAAAAGTGAATGTTCCAGGTAGATTTATTAGAATGTGAAGTAATAACACAGATGAGTAACACAAATGAGTAAATAAAGAGAATACTATATAACTGCATAATTTTGAATCACTCTGTGGTGGCCACTACTGGACTCCGATGAGGACAAATGATCGAGTAAATTTATACTCAGGCTGACCCCGTTTGTGCGACAGTAGTAATAAAAAGGCCAAATACGTTTTGACGGATGAATTCATTTCATGCAATCATTCATGCAGACAAACGTGCGAAGCAAATCGTACAAGTAAAACGAAGCGTATTGGAGAAGGTTAGTGAGCCAACCACAAGAGATAAAGCATGACTAAGAATTTATAGTCAGACCAAAATAAGACAGACATGTAACAAGGTAGATAGGCAAACACACACATGAATGAAAGCGGCGAATGATTGACAAGGTCAAAAGACAAGTGGAACAAGTCATGTGAGCTAAACATTGAATCAATGACTCACTACTACTCTTTACACTCTGACCAACTCATAATACAGACGATGAAATGACTGATCCACTGACGATTCCGATGATGAAATATAGCTAATAACACAATTTGTTGGCGAACAGTTAGTTATGTAACGGCATAGTTCGTACGATTATTAAACATGAGAATGGAGTGTGCATGAACTGGTTGACTAAATTCAAAAACGTTAATTAAGTAAACATGAAGTAAGATAACAAAGTGTTTAAAAGGCAAACAACGTGATATTCATTTGTAGTCCGTAGTTGATTGTGTAGGCAGTGTTGTTACAAACAAATATGCACTGACTAATAAGAACATATGAGGTGTACAAACGTATGGAGAAAGAAGGAAAGAGTTAGTCGCGAGCATCAGATCTTTGTCTGATCATATCTTTCAGTTCACCTGTTATTCTGTATATATTTCAGTCAACAAACTTGTTTCATCTAACGTGGCTCTGCTGTGGTTCACCACAGTAATCTACTCCAATTAGTATCACGATTACTATTATTATTGTGATTATTCCATTGACTTTTATTCTCTCCACCGTAATTCAGGGATTCGATTGTTGCAGTGATTACGCTGTCTCGTTTCATTACATCAAACCAGAAGATATGTATCTCTATGAATATATGCTCTATCATTTACATCCTTACGGGATACACCGAGATTATATGGATTTAATCAATTATTTACAACAGAATCGAGACTCATGATACTATTGATCGATCACCTCACATTCACCTGTATCTCGCAAATTCACCATGGTTGTATATATTGTCTAACTGTTGCTCAATAAAGCACTTGTGATTCTGTCTTTCACTTACACTCGCACACACACACGCGCACACCTGCACAAACAAACACAAAGACATACAAAAATCTTTTGGTTTTTTTCAGATATCTCTTCACCTTCACGCCTTCACCTATTCTACACATTCACCTCATCTACATGTCACAGTTAAATGCCAATCTCCATTGACATTATCAGTACTACTACCATCTTTCCACTTCAAAAATACATATCAATCCATGAATCAATCACTCAGGGAATTATTCCTTCAATCTATCAATCAACCGATTGTTGTATGAACAACAGGCAGTGAAATTCGAAGATGGAACAAGCAAGTCAATGAATAACCGAATGAGCCACACCCATCACGAACATTCAATTCATTGATCTGATGATGTTTACGATTATTATTATTATTATTATTATTACTCCTTATCACTTATCTATGTTAACTTGTTTTGTTTACTCAATCAGTCTGTTTATATTGTAAAGTCAGCTTGGTACACACTAATCACTACTTATCTGAGTTTTATCATGTACAATATTTCCTTGGAAAGGTCGGTGATCTGTGTAAAATAACATTTTCAATAATGTCAATGTGAATGATAATGTTTTTAGGAAGGTTGATCTGTTTGTATCTCGCCGTTATTTTAATTTTTATACGTCCAGTATTTGACCTGTATTCACCTGGAGGTGAAAGTATCTATTTTGAGTAACCAGATGTCAGAATGTAATTTTTGTACAATGAACTTTTTATCCTTTCTTCAACTGTACATATTCAATGAGATGAAAGCAAAAAATATACAATGAAAGTTGACAGATTCATAGTGGAATGAAAGATGGTGTTTGACTTTTTTAAAAATGAAATCCTCATATTCATCAACTGTCTATTGTAGCATATGGAATGAAATGAGTTGAATTAGTTTATTCCAGTAGTGATGCGCCAATCAAATCACTCTTGATATGGACACGCTTTGGAAGACTTTAACACCTTTACAAATTTGGGCAGCATCACTGATGAGCCAGATAGATCGGATGTAGATGTGCGGGCGCATATCGACAAAGTAAGGGCTGCATTTCTACAATTGAAATATATCTGGAACTCCAAACAAATATCCATCAACACCGAGACCAGAATTTCCAATACAAATGTCAAGACAGTTCTACTAAATGGAGCGGAAACTTGGAGAAATACGAAAGCCATCATCCAGAAGATACAAGTGTTTATTAACAGTTGTCTAAACAAAATACTTCGGATTCGTTGGCCAGACACCATCGGCAACTTACTGTGGGAGAGAACAAACCAGATTCCAGCAGAGGAAGAAATCAGGAGGAAGCGCTGGAGAGGGATAAGACAAACATTGAGGAAAGCACCCAACTGCGTCACAACACAAGCCCTGACATGGAAACCTCAAGGCAAAAGGAAAATAGGATGGTCGAGGAACACATGACACCGAGAAATAGAGAAGGACACGAGGAAAATACACAAAAATTGGACAGAACTGGAAAGGGAAGCCCAGGACAGAGTTGGTTGAAGAAAACTAGGTCGGTAGCCCATGATCCATTGAGGGTAACAGGCGTAAGTAGGTAAGTATTAGTGATCACATGAATAAACAAGACTGTCGTAATAATGAGAAATCAGGAGATGGAATGTGAAGTGATGCATTTGTATTCTACTCGACGAGCCGTTATTACTAAATATCGCTATTACTACCGCATGGAAATTGTTAAACTATAATATTGGAATTAGACAGGGTTAAGTACGAGGCGGATTTTCAATTAGAGAACAATCAGTACAGATCAACAAAACGTTGGCCAATTCGTTGAAAACTACACATAGAGCACTCGATCCGCTTGAGCAACAGTCTAGTTTGAACAGTGGCTCGATCTAGATCATGTATTGTGTACCAGTTGATAAGTTGAACTATCAGTCACTAAGTTTCACATCAGTATGAAGAGGAACTAATCATTCGAAATAAGACTAGTAAATATGGTGGGATATGAGAGAATAAGAAATTCTTATTCTTATTGTTATTATTGTTATTATTATTACAATTGAGTCGTAATTAGTTTAGTAATCGTCAAGTAGTTACTTATTGTCGACTGCCATCCACTGTCAAAAGAACTAATATTGAAAAATTTGATTCTGTTTGAATGGCAGTATGTCTTAAATTCCATATGTGTCGATTCCTAATTCTATTAGATTCTCCAACCGATACATTTGTTTCTACGACGAAATGACAGTGTGTTATTGTCTTTCTGTTCAAAACGCTCAAATTCCTAGGAGTTTGATAGACTTCATTGCAGGCATCACCATGTATAAGCTTGAATGTAAATCGGATTGTTATGAGTACTGGCGAAAAAAGTGAAAGATGATAATTCGTTTAAACATTTCATCAGACTGTTAGGTTTAGAGATTGAAAGAAAAAAATGACATTTTGAAACAATCTACTCACATCATTATTTAGGCATCATTTTCGACTGGGGATGAAACTGCTGTTCACATTTCTGGAATGATCAGTGAACGAACAGGTGAAAGAAAATGCTATGCTCTCAAACTGACCAATCATCTAATAATCACACAATTTCAAATCCAGTCACCATTAAATAAGCCACGTCGACGTCCATCCGTCAACTGCCATACAATTACTTCTACTCTTAATGCTAAACATTTGTAAATCCTGTGAAATAATGATTCGTTTTCACAGTCAATCTGACTTGAAAATACACAACATTTTAATTAGTGCTCACATCTAGAGTACAAACATTACAGAAGACAATGATAATTTGCTCTGTAAACTCAGTCCCAATATCTCAACTTCATCGTATAGTCGACAAGAAAATGAAAGACCTCGCACTGACGCTATACACCATTAAAATGTTGCACAGATCAATAAGCATATGAAAATCGCGATAGTGCAATAGAATTTACAGGTAATTCAGTGCCATTGTTCACTGACTGTATTGATGAAAATGTGAAGTGAACATGAAAATACCAAAAAACGTTCAAAAGTATAATGAAGGTTGCGTTTACTACTCATCGTCACATCATCATGCTTCCGAAGATACTGACATAATAACTAACATCAAACGCAAGACAACATATTCACAAATAAAATCTCTAAACTCAACTCAATCAAGTCAACTCTTCATCACAACTCAAACCATTGCGATGAACTTATTGTTGGAAAGAATTCATTCATGAAATGATAGTACAGTTCATTTTCATTCACTATGGATTACTCCTCAGTAGAGACAGTCGAATTGGTGTTCAGTGAATTAGTTGAATGACTGACTGAGAGAAAACTTAAATGAAACAAATAATTTTCAAAATCACAATGAGTGAATAGTTTTGGCTTATTGATGAGTGTTTAGGGCATTTAGATGAGCTAGTAAAATATCCACTGTTAATAGCCAATACCACATGATGAAACCGGTGAATGAACGAATCAGTTACAGTCCACAGTTACGAGATGGGCGACATATATATTCATGGTGCTAATATATTCATTATGAAGTTAGCATGTGAGATAAATACAGTGAAATTCTTTGACTTACAAATCAAAGACTCTCTCCGTACACAGAAGTCGACATAATAACAACGATTAGCTCATTGTTCAGTTCCACATCGCTTTGACGCTTCAAACTCAATCAAAATCTTTACTTGTCTTACTAAACTACTCCAATCTGAAAAACTAAACAAGCATGCATCCAACTCACTGAACATCATCCCATATGGTAGGATAAAGGACAAAAGATGCTAATGTTAGGATATTCATCCAATATCCTAAGAGAATTGTTGGCCAATTCCTATTGGTTAATGCCTACTGGTAAATGTTATGGTCGTCCTAGATATAAAGTAACGTGCTCCGATGTTGTTTCTTATTGGTTGTCCTGACTATCAATGTTACTTCAAATGTTGCTTCCTATTGGTTCTCTTAACTGTCAATGTTACAGAATTCGATGCTGTTTCGTATTCGACCAAAATGTACACATACGCATTATTTGCAACGTTTTATGACCACCTCCAGGACAAGGACCCGGATCCCTAGTCTGGGATCCTGATTCTACTACGCCTTCTTAATTTTACTAAATATGGGGTTGGGGTGATCGGGCAACTAGGTAAACTCGTAATAGTTCAAGCATATGAAAATGACGTGTTTACTTGCGGGCATAACAAGAAGCCAACATCAACATAACGGTCACCACATTCTTCAGTTTCATATCACTTTTACACATAAAACTCAATCAAAATCTTTACTTGTCATATTAAACTACTCCACTCTGAAGAACTAATCAACCATTCATCCAACTCACTGAACATCATCCCATATGGCAGGAAGAAGGACAAAAAATGCTAATAATAGGATATTTATCCAATATCCTAAAAGAATTATTGGTCAATTCCTATTGGTTAGTTCCTACTGGTCAATTTTATGGTCGTCCTAGATTTCAATGTCACGTGCACCAATGTTGTTTCTTATTGTTTGTCCTGACTATCACTGTCAATTCAAATGTTGCTTCCTATTGGTCATCTTAACTATCAATGTCACAGACTTCGATGCTGATTCCTATTCGACCGAAATGTATAAATACATATTATCCGTAACGTTTTATGACCAGGACCCGGTCCGGGATACCTAGTCAGGGATCCTCATTCTCTTCTGGACTCGGACCTCATACTTTCTGGATGCTTGTAGAATACATCTTCTACTTCATATCAAGTTTTCTTCTTTTATTCAATACACGGGTTGGAATAATCGGATCGAGTAGCATGTCGTGTCGCCGGATCCTCGATCCTCACTCTCGTTTTCCGACTACGGGGTAAACTCGTAATTGTTCAAGTAAATCAAAATGACGTGTTTACGTGCAGGCATAATAGCTAATCAATAAGCTGTGTGATTATTCACTATGAAGACAATGGATAAAACATTCCCAATTATTTCGCTTCATACTATTCATTCACCACTACTTAATATCATTGAACAGAATTGGTGTGTGTGCGTGTGTGTTCATGGCATAAAACATAATGTTTTGTATTTAACACTGAAAATCATGCATTAAAACACATTCTTCCACTACTAACTACACTTTACAAAATTAATTGATCAATATTCAATGACATATTTCATGCAACATTAATTGTATTCAATTAGAAGATTAAAACACAAAAACAAGTGATATTTTTAATGAATGAGTTTCGGTTTTTTATGTGTGTGTGTGTGTGACTGAGTTATTTATTTATTTACCTATTGTTGATAGATTATTTAATGTTCAGGTATAACGCCCTAAAATACAAAAAAATGGAACTCATGTTTGTCATTGTTATTTGGTTGAAGATTGATAATTGAATAGAATTAATTGCGAAAATGTTGTTTGTTTTAGTTTGTGGTGAAATCCTGTGTCATGGTTGTTATTTATAATCATTCAATCTACTCAATGAATAGGACGCTACCATGGAGAACAACTAGAAAGGAATTCAAAAACATATTCACTTCAGCATGTCATTAGGTTTTGGACTACTATGAATGGATCTCTATTGATACTTTGGATAAGATATAAGAAAGTAAGAACGTAAAAACAGCAATCAACAACAGTTGAACAAGAGCAGAGGAAGTCAAGGAACAGACAGAACACACGGAAGGCAACACGCAATTTAAGCGGAGCATTGTCTGGTGTGTACAGAATAATAACACGGAATTCCTTCTGTTATTTAGTTGTTTCATTTCTCTATTTGGTTGAAGATTGATAATTGAACAGAATTGCGAAAATGTTGTTTGTTTTAGTTTGTGGTTAAGTCCTGTCATGGTTGTTATTTCTAATGGCAACGCAGAGAGA